CTTCTCCCTCTCCCACTCCCCCTACTTGTGTTCCCTCTCTCGCTGTGTCTCTCTCTGTCAAATAAATAAATAAAATCTTTAAAAAAAAAAAAAAGCATGGAAAGTATGTAACTAAAGGGTTTTAACCAGGGATGGTAATGTGGTTGAATTTGCCTGACAATGATGTTAGCAGCTGTATGGGGTTGAGATGGAACACGTCTGGGAAGGCCTCAGGCAGGGGTTGATGCTGTAAGGAGGTGGAGGCCGGGGGAGAAGGTAAGAGGCCAATCTCGGATCCCACTGAGACCCTCTACCAATTGCCTGAGTTAGGACTGAGACTCAGTGCCCTACGGCTGGGTGTACTGTTGGAAGCTGAGATGGGGACCTACTGTCACTCAGCAACTTCCGGCCTTGGTTCTTCTTTGCCCCAGTTCTATCTTTTTTTTTTTTTTTTAAGATTCTATTTGTTTATTTGAGAGAGAGAGAAAGAGAGCAAGAGATAGCAAGCATGAGTGGGGTGGGTGAGGGGCAGAGGGAGAAGCAGGCTCCCCGCTGAGCAGGGAGCCCAATGCAGGGCTTGAACCCAGGACCCTGGGATCATGACCTGAGCCGAAGCCAGGCACTCAACCAACTGAGCCACCCAGGGGCCCTGCCCCTAATGCTATCTGACAGAGTCTTGTTCCCACACTCCACACTATGCTGCTCGAGGGAGAGACCATGTTCTGGCCACCTTGGACCTTCCTTCCTCTCTTTGTGTGCCCGGCAGAGGACATTTATACATAGGAAGTGCTGAAGAATAATCTATTACACAACGAAGCCATCTTGTTTTGAGTAAGGAAAGTGATGGCACAAGACCAGCCACAGAGCGAGGAGCAGCAGGAGTGTGACCTGACTTGGGTAGGGGTCAGCGGTGTCCTGGGAAGCTGTCTACCTTAGTTAACACGCGGCTCAGAATGCCTAACTTCTGCTGCCTACATTGTGCATGACCACCAGCGCTTACCTCGCCAGAGATACCACAATAAGTTTGTGAGGTCAGAGTGGATGATGCCAGTGTCAGCCCAGTGTTGGGCAAACTGGTACTCCAAGACCATCAGCTTTCACTGGGAACAATTTAGCAACAGTCCCCAGCAAGTGCCTTTAATCCCGTCCTTCTTTCTTCTCTTTCCACTAGCTCTTATTTTCCAATATTATCATTTACTTTTGTGTCTCAACCCACGATCCAAGCTGTCCTGTTGAGAATGTCACATCCCTCCTCCTATTGGAGACAGATCTCACAGGGGAGTCTTTGAACAAATAATTTTACTTATCTCTTATGAGCTCGACTCTCCTGGTACTGAAGCCTGCATGAAGGAAACAGAATTATTTATGTTATTTTTAAAAAAGAGAGCTAGATTTCCTCTCTCTCTCTCCCTCTCTTTCCATTGGGGAGATCTTAAAACACTGTAAATTTTGGTAGCTGGCCTGGGCCAAAGCAGTCTCTCTTCCCGCTGGTGCACACAGCCGCTGCTTAATTTAGAGTGATTCCAAAGGCAGGGGGGGATCATAATGCAGAGATCATGCTGTTAGGAACCATCACTCTGGTTGGAGACATATGTAGCCACAGAAGGCTCAACAGATCACAGTAGCTTAAGGCTCTGGAAGATAAAAGGGCCGGCATCGCTGATAGGGATCCTAGAGACAGCTGGCTGCTTGCACACACACCCAGCAGCTTTCAGTGCTCCTTCCTTCCTTCCAACTCCCTCCTTCTCTCCCTCCCTCCCTCCTTCCCTCCCTCTCCCCCCTGTTTTCTCTCCGCCTTTCATTTCCTTAGTAAAACTCACATGAATTGGGGATAGGAGAAGGAGACGGTGGATGGGAGGATGTACTGGTCAGACCTCACAGATGTAGTTATCATTTCGCATACGTGAGGCATGAAGCTAACACCTGCTATTCTTCTCCTTTCTTTTAACATGGAAAATCATTAAAACAAAATGCTTATAGGAATTCCAGGTGCTACGTGGTTTAGGGTAAAAAATCAACATCCTAAATCTTCAGGTGGACTTCGGTATAAGGACTGATTCTGACCCCTCTGTAGATGTGGATGTTGGATTAAGCTCTCTGCAGCTGGCAAATAATAATCTCTAACTTTTGGGTTCCTTGAAAAATTAAATAGCATCTTAAAGATTAAATGCCAAGTGCAGTTATTGGTACAAATGGGGGCTCACAAATCCTGCCTGGCTTCTGGTTTTCTTTCTTTCTTTCTTTCTTTTTTTATAGTTGCATGGCCTCAGGAGAATTATTTGAGCATGTTGAGCCTCAGGCAGGGGTTGATGCTGTAAGGAGGTGGAGGCCGGGGGAGAATATATCTTAGATATATTTACCAGGGGTTGATGCTGTAAGGAGGTGGAGGCCGGGGGAGAATATATCTTAGATATATCTTAGAAGGGGACTAATGATGTGCCCCTGATGAGATATTGAAAGGATTAAATAAGGTATCATATTCATGTCTCTGTAATTTGTAATGTGCTGCATAAATGTGAGGCATCTAATTATTACACCCTTTGTTACATTATATATAATTTATGTCAACAAGTGGCAAAAAAGCACCCTGTGGGCAGAGGATTATATGGCAGCCACTGTACTAGGGACTTTTAAAATACACATTCTCTAATTATTATAACCACCCGGTGCAGAATGTAAGATCATTTTTATTGGCTGGATAACGAAACTGGTTGATCAGCAAATGACGACCAGCATTTATTCCACACTCACTATATGTTAGTCCCTGATCTAAATGCTTTAGATGTATTACTTCCTTAATAGTAAGGGTCTCATCAACCCCACAGTGTAAGAAAGGTAATCCTCATTTTATAGATGAGGAAACCAAAGTACAGAAAAACTGAGTCACTTGTACAAGGTATACAGCTGGTAGGTGATAAAATAAGATTTGAAGGCAAGCAGTCTGACTCCACCGCCTGAACTCTTACCTATAACATTATATGGCAATGTGATGACTTGGTTACAGGAGTTTATTTCTTTAGCTTCTAGTGGCTGTGCTCACTTCAAATTAACTCATGAGAATATTTCATGAGATACAATATCATTTATATGTACTGCATCATTTCCAAAGACAAGGGATATATTATATATTCAAGTAAATTTTGTTGAGAAAATAGTACCATTAGCACAGAGAGCACTTATTTGCCACCATTAGTAAATATCGCTCTTAAATTGGGTCTGTAACCTGAGTTTGTATATTTATGCATCTATTTATTAATGTATATATACTCCCATAAACCTGGGCTGCTACTTCATGATCCTTCTGTGCAGGATGAAACAATCAGAAGACATACCAGTCCGGTATCTAGAAATAATTAAACTGTGGTGTGAAATCATTCCTGCCGTAGGCCTTACTTTCACAGTTTCCAAAAGTCTTTAGAGCTCTGAGAACCCAGATGGCTAGAGCTTTCCTCTTTCTTTTTTTTTTTTTTTAAAGATGTTATTTATTTGCGAGAGAGAGAATGAGAGACAGA